CAAACTTTGTCTGGCGTTGCCCATTGTACGTAAGGCTGCGAAGGACTACGCTGTGTCTTAGGCTAATGTATGCTGGGAAAACCAGCACACTGCTTTCCAGCACTGCTTCCTGGGCCTGCACACCTGACACACTGTGCCAATAACACTGATAGCGGGCAATTCCATGCAAAGTCACATCCGCAGTGCTGACAAAATCCTACGTGTGTCTAACAAAATGAATATGAATTTTGAGGATTTCTCTATACTCGGTTGCACGAAAAGATATACAGATTGAGTCAGTGATAAGAAGCTCGTCCTGCTCCGCGGCATTTTGTCTAAATGTCACATCCATAACCTGCAATCGCCGTGATAGTTCTATTGTAAACATTCTGCTGTGTTGTGATGGCGGCCTTTCAGTCCCAGTGGGCCGCTTTGCGCCTTACTGGCCGGTTAGCTGTGCTTCCGCGTCATACTGGGAGACGGAGCAGTACAGCTTGTCACACTTTTCCTCTCTGTAGCCACGTCTTCGAGAACGGTGCTGGAAACACACGAAGAGTTTAAGGCCATGACAGGAACCATACAGCTGGGGAGAAAACTCATCACAAAGTACAACCGGCGGGAGCTGACAGACAAGCTGCTGATATTTCTTGCTCTGGCCCTGTTTCTGGCCACCGTCCTGTACATTCTGAAGAAAAGGCTGTTCCCCTTCCTTTAGCCAGAGTATACGGAAACACAGCCGAACCGAGGCCTTTCACACAGTCAGACTTTCCACAAAAAAGTACGGAGGACGTGTCCTGTTTAGGTGGAGTGCCATAGACAGCGAGGGCTTTTTGTTGCAGGTCTGTTAACATCGTCTTGGTGTGGACAGTGTCATGAGACACAGGCAGCTTCACCCCGGACTGGCGTCTTCTGCCTTGTTAACTTTTGTGGTGGAAGCTAATTACATTATGAATGGATGTTAATGCTATTTGTAAAGTTGATACCCTGCTTCCACACCCATAATTGTCGTCATCCTTCTTAAACATTGCTCACGCTGGATGTCATGGTAGGTATGATTCCTATCATGTGTGCTGTACCAGGAATACATGCATGAAGTAGCGTCCCACTCAGAGAGAGACAGCGCGCCTTATTGTGTATGTCAGCTTAAACATTCAGTGATAGTAATTCCTGCATTTGACTCTGGTGAAGAGCAGCAGCAGTTAATGGTTGGGATATTTTATGCCACACCGCTCTGTAGTAATTGTATTTATAATTTTAATAACTGACAGGCTCTCACATGTACATGGTATAAATAAAATAACTTATTTTTATGTCGTGGTACATGGTGAATTGTGTCGTGTCTGCAGTTTTGCCTGAGATTGTTGGACACGCACATCGTGACAGTTACCCTGTGCACATCGTGACAGTTACCCTGTGCACATGGTGACAGTTACCCTGTGCTCTCCAGGCGATGGTGAGCCTGTGCCTGGGCATCCCGGGATGTGGGTGGCAGGGTTTACGTGCCACATAAAGGCTCCCTGCAGTCCTTTGCCAAACTCACAGTAACGAGACTAAGAGAAGTGTGAAGAAGCCATCTCATAATTAAAAAATGATAGGTGGAGGGGCATTGTATCAGTTTTTCATCGTCCTTGTCTTGCCGTCTTGGGCAGAAAAGAGTATGGCTGACAGGTTTGGGGGGGGCGGGGGGTGGTTGGCAGTAATCACCTTACTGATGATAAAGAAGCAGCCGCCTTGTCTTTCCTCTGATAAGACCCGGAAAGGCAGATTTTCCCCTCCTATTGCTTTCGGTTGGCTGGGCAGGGTGTGTATTTTTAGCGTGCTGAGGCCTTATCAGGCCTGTTCTTTTCCCTGCCCTCGGCCAGTGGTTCGGCAGCGCACCATCATGACCTTCGTCTCTGCTTTGCTGTGTTTCTGTGCGCGTGTCGGCGACAGGGCATTCGGGGGCGTTCGCGTGCCTTGGAGCCCCGTAACCGTTTTGCGCAGTGGATGCCCCCTACATCATCTGCAAAGCAGTCCCGTCTTTCTGTGATATCCTGTAACGTTATTTGCGGACAGGAAAGGCACAGAGATGCCCGTATAAAGTTTTGACACGCAGGTCCCACGGTCTTTCTGTGCTACAGCTCATCGGGCTATATACGGAGACGCTCTTTTCATTGTTGTTTTTATTTCTGTCCTTGTGATTTACTTCAGAAAAGTTCGATCACCCTCCAATGAACCCTTTAACGTAAATGTAGTTACGAATTGTATTTCAGTGTTCTGGATCACCCTTATTGCATTAATCCCGGAGTGAAATAACAGGGTTTTTGTCAGTTGCCTCCCTTCATGCGGTGATGTGTTTGAGTTGTCTGCCATTCAACACCATCCCGAAAACAAGAGGTACAAATCGAGACGGGTTTAAACTGGTGATTAATGAGTTGATGAAGGTGATTAAACAAATGCATTACCCCATGTTAATGAAGGCGGTAACCGCAGTGCCAATGGACTGGCGTAGGGAACTGGGAAAACCTAGAAAGATGACTATGAAGTCCCTGACCTCTGTGAATCTGTGTGGTCTTACAGTTTGTGTCGATCAAAGCTTTTCTTTGTTTTGCTATATACAACGAAGCGTGTATTGTACCTTCCTATGTGTGCGTCATTGTGTTTAAATTTAATACGGATTTCTGATCCTGAAAACTGTTGAAATGACCCCCAGAATTATAATTCGTTAATTATTTAATTATGAACAGAAATTATCGAGTTGCTAGATGCTAGATTTTGACGATGTTTTTTTGGAATAAGCGAATGCGTCGAGAGCGATTGTTTTAGGATATATGTTTGGTTCTATGCTACGTTTCGCTGTTTGTGTTTTTAGATATCTATTTTGAATTAGATTTTTTGCTAAATAATTACTGATTTTTTTAACAATAATATGTATGTATTATCTATAGCCTACGTTCTACAATTGTATGCCGCGATGGGAACGTTTACAAATTTAATGGTTGACTTAAACAAAGCTTTTATAAACGTCTTTAATTGTTATTATTGCTGTATCCAAAATGTGGTTTGCTAATGTAATGATTGACCTAAAGATGAAACTTTTTTCGGTGTCATTACAAACTTGAGATAGGCCTACTTGTTCGCTGTCATGGTGGTTCCGAGAACCACAGCTAATAAATATGCAACAAATAATAAACTACAATAATATTAGCAGAAGGGACATTTAGGAATACGTACATCTTAGACTTTTCTCTTTTTCCGAATTTATATATATATAAAAATTAGATTGTTAGACCAAAGACGGCGTTACGTAGCTTTTATACAGCCGAATATGGATGTTCTGGCGGTCCAAACATCCCTGCATAGGAGCTCATAAAAATCGGATGCAGCGCGTGACAAAAGAATGTGACGAATTTTGCAGCCTGGTATGTCACAGTTTGAATGTAAGCTGTGAATTCAAATAAAGCACAAAACTAGCTGTTTAATCTGGCATGAAAAGTGCAGAGCGAATTTTAAGCCATTGAACATCTGTCCCTTGATTAAAAATTAAATTTGGATCGTCGGACTGTCTGCTCCGGTCCGCCATCAGATTTTCAGTGATTTCTTTCTCTAGACGTACAACTAGAATAGGCTTGAAATGATCAGCTTAAATATGTCTCGGTAATAATAAAACTTTGGAATTTAATTGAATCGAGACCATCATCATTCATTAAGATAAATTCATTAGTTTTTTTTGACCCATTAGTTTTTTTTAATGTATTGAGTTACACAGTTTGCGCGCCTTCCTATTAAAAAGCAATATTCTTCAGGTCATGAGAAAAAAACAAGCCCACTCATTCAACGTGGTTTGTAGCAACCGATAGAATATTTAAGGTGTTAAGTAACATTTTACTTTAAATTATAATAAACACGGGCCTATGAAACATTTCTTTGCAACATTTTGCCAAGGTGACCCTTAAGCGCTGCCCGAAGCGAAGTGTATAGGCATAAACTGGCTGAATTTAGCCAAAAGTAGGTGACATTGATCGTCTTACTTGTAAAACGACCAGAAGTAGAGGCGTGGGTAAGATTATTAATAGCCAACTATCTGCCAGTGTCCCAAGATTTTCAGAAAAGGTTTTGGTGAATATTATTCTCAGACATAATCACGTTTTTATGGTTAGTGTAATCTATTGGAAATGTTTTCATTTTGGGCTTAAAAATTTATTCAAAAACCAGACGTTCTGAATATTGGAGTTAACTCAGTAAGTAGCAACAACAGAGCTATATAATTTTTGAATAAAAATACAAACGTTTTTGTACCCTGAGCTAGATAAACGGATGGAAGACGGATGGAATTTTGTAATAGTAATAAAATGTTAATGACAGCTGCAGCAACAACAATAATAATAAAAATAAAAAATAATAATTAATAATGATGTAACAATTAAATACCGAACGACTGCGTTTATCCTGTAATAAATATGTAGCAAAAAAAAAACAGATCGCTTAATTACGGCAGTCGTTGAAAAGCTGTAAATTTCCAGTGAATTCTCCAGTAGGTCTTGTAGGCAAGTCAAAATATTTTACTATAATAAGTAATTAGTTATCTTAACTAGAATAGTTCCGATCACGCTGACCCTCTAGCTATAGCTTTTACGCAGAGAAATAGATAGATAGTAATTTTATCTATTTGGTTAGAAGTAACTTTTTCTTCTCTGTAACCTCATGTTTTGTAGAATGTTACCGCATTCCATTTGATGTGTTTTTCGATAGGTCTCTACTGCATCTGTAATTCCTAGTATATTTTTGGTGACTTTTCTAATAAATCCCTTTAGCACAGTTGTACACGAAGTTAATATTCCCGATTATTGGAGGAAAAAAATGCTTAAAATTGCCTTTAACAAATGAATGTTACTTCAGTATTTAAGCTCCGCCACAACAAATTTTCCCGGTGAATTATATTGTTCCCTCTTTTCTATGCATTTTTTTCAGAAGGGTGTCGTTTCAGCCAAGTTTCACGGTGTATATTGCTAAATATGAACAATAAGAAATACAAAGAAATCTATAAACAAAACATCAAACTTGTTTTTTTTGTTGTTGCGGGAATTGACATACAGAGGAACGCCATACAGTCGGCCAATGTTACAATATAATGTACAGTTTTAGCGTATCTTGTTACACTGAGGAGCAAAAATCAAGTGTATCTCCACGATTCATATAGGCATTTTTTCTATTTTATCGTCAAAATAATAAAAAAAGAAATTAACGTTTCGATAAAACCGTTCATTAGGTGTTGCGATCATCGTTGGTTGCCAATGCCCTCGTTTATGTACATTCACCAAAACACTCCTGTCAAAATACAATCATTATAGTTCGTTTTTTTTTCTTGTAAGAATGAAATAGGGGCTGCGAAGTGGCCGCCACTTAAACCACATCTTCGCATTCGAAATGTATAAGAATGGTGTGTTTCGTTAAGAAAAAGCCTTTTTCTGACTTGTCACCAGGCTCTTATACCATGCAGGGAAGAGACTCCGTTGCTCGACTGGAACTGGGTCTGGACGTTACTGAGCTCAGCCACGCTGATGTTCATGTAGTTACTGCTTCCTGGTGGTGACTGGATTGCCGGCATGGTTCCTGTGGCGTAATTACAGGCGTAGTTTGTGTTGCAACCGGGATTTGGGTAATTAGCGAAGTGCGGGTACGTGTTGTACGCGTAGTGGTTCATGCCCACGTTGTAGGAAGAACTGTAAGCAGATGTATCACCCACACAGGGCTTTCCGTCCCGAACCAGGACCGGAACCGATATGCGCCTTGGTGGCGGGATGGCCACCATCTCCAGAGTCTGGTCTTGGCGCTGTCTCTTGCACTTGTAACGGCGGTTTTGGAACCATATTTTCACCTGGGTTGACGTGAGTTTAAGCACGCCGGCTAGGTGGTCTCTCTCCGGGGCCGAAAGGTACTTCTGCTGTTTAAAGCGCCTCTCCAGCTCGTAAACCTGCGCCTGAGAGAAGAGCACGCGCGGCTTGCGCCTCTTCCTCTGTCTCGGTCGCTCCGTGTCCTCGGTCTTTAAGTCGTCACTCTGTTCGTCTTGAGAGGGAATTAATGTACATGTCAATAAATAATAGAATAATAATAATATATAATTCATAATTATTTTTCATGATGTTACAATTATTAATTATTAATGTTTTAATAGTTACAATAATATTATTTGTAATATTTGTAATTAAACGGAACCAGAAAAACTTAAGCTCTACTTATTAAACAAATGATATTGTCTTTAAATACATGCAAATGTTATCTTTCAGTTTTTATGCAGCCGCAGGCAACATTGCAGGATTTGTCCAAACATTTTATTTAGTCGTTATCAATATTACTTTCTGGGTTCCCGAGTATAACTGCGAACCGAGAAACCTGCAACGACACATATATGCCTGAACATCCATCCATCCATCCATACATCCATCAATTTTCTATATCCGCTTGTCAACTACTTATAATAGCTGACAGTTTTAAAGGTCTGAGTTTTTAAAGATGTGGAAAGAACTCGTTTTTGGGACAATAGACATAAAAGTCTTGCTAGAAAGGCAAAAGTTTCCATGCATTTAGCCTTACTCTTTTATTTATTAATAAAGCCGTTAAGCAAAACGAAATTAAAATATTTTTTATAAAGGTCACCAATAATTACAAAATTATCCTCAATGACATCGGTTTATTGTTGACAATCATAAAGTAAGATTCCTCCTTCACCTTTTGTTTCCTTTTCCTCTAATATGTTGTCCGCCCGTGCCTCTTTGATGATGTCCATATCCAGGAAATTCTTTCCATAAAAGGTAGCAGTGAAGTTAAGAGAAGAGATTTTGCTGCCCTTAAGATCGGGCACGTCTTCGCTAAACACGGAGGCCCCGGCCTGCATCTCCGTCACAGGCTCTTGTTTGAACTTCGCCAGCATACATGACGAAGTCGGGACCGCGCTCTCTAGCCGTGGTGATATTTCCAAAGAGGACATCTCGTCTTGGTTCTGCTCCAGATTCAATATATCCCTTACTGAGAAAGGAGTGGACGTCAGGGAGCTGGAGAACATGACCAGTAAACACTTATTCAGTTTTCCCGACAACAAATTGATGAAGCTGTCACGAGGGTTACCCCTCCCCGAAAATTCACCAAACTGAAGCGCTCTCTAGTGCGACAAGGAGGCTCTTGAGAAAAGTGTTCATCTTCACTATAAACCCTGTTTCTGACTTGTGAGGGTCTAGGGTTGCGGTTACGTACAGGCGGCGGAAAGGAGGGGCTTCCAGATCCCAGCTAAAAAAGTGTAATAGCCCTCCATTGGCTGCTGTGGTACCTGTGACGTTAACGGTTTATAATGTCAGGTAACCTTAAATGTCGATGCATAAAAATGCCTTGCAAATACAAGCAGTATAAAATTCAGGTTTTCATAAAATAACGTTGACCCCGGCGTTTGGAGACTGTCAGTGATTTTTGACACGTTTTCATGAACTTAATTTGTTACACGTTGCCTTCGTCCTTTCAGAATAAGGTGAAAAGCATAAAGCGTCAGTTCGTAGTCGGGCCAAATGTGACTCCCTATTATTGCAATTATGTAAATAGTTCTTTGCCACCAAAGTAGTAAACCATTTGCATACTGGAAAACACAGGCTACTGAGGAAAATCAACTGCACTGGATCAAAATATGCCGACGCTAAAACACGAAAATCCATCACTTCTTCCTTAAGGCCATCTTCGTCAGGTTTCTGCTATGCATGGAGAATGAATGGGTGAACTACAGTGCACATGAACTAATACTATTTTAGGGAAGATAGCCGGCGGTACGTTTTAAAGGTTGGGGTTTTTTCCGGGAAATGCGGCAGAAAGCGGTGGGAGAAACGGGAGCTTCGCAAGGAGCAGGTTGGCGCTGCGTTGGAACCTGAAACCAGCACTAAGACAACTCAACCGCCGCCTGATGAATGATCCGGGTGCCGCTGCTCTCCTTATCAAAATGTGATAACTGGTTACAGAAAACCACCAAAGGCCTATAGGAAATGTGAACTAAGAAGGCCTAAGCATCACGCGCCTATGTCCATCCATCCATCCGTCTATGCATCCATCCACCTTCCGACCGCTTATCCTGGTCAGGGTCTGGGATGCCACAGAATTTTTAGTATAGACTAATTATTATAACATTTCCACTGTTTCGCCTAAGTATAAATGTCTGCCTATAAATCCATTCAAAATGGAAAACGCCGGGACAAGCAGTTTATACACCATTTGTGAAATAAGGACGGCTCTTTGTTATATTAATATAGGAAAAAGATTCAGACGCTCAGTGTCCCACCACACCCCAAGAGTTATTTGCTGAATTAAATTATCTCAAGTTAAATACCTCGCTAAGTTGATGCGTGCAGATTCCTTGCTTATCATTGCTAAAATTCATGCTCGTTTGATTAATTTAGTTCTATACAAAACGTCACGGACAAATATTTGAAATATACATAGTTTCCTTGCCGAGCACTTTCTTTGGCTTTAATTTGGTTATTTAAAAGTATCCCGCGACTGAGTCTAGCATTGAGCAATATCTAAATTCAGAAGTGAACTAAGCTAACATTAGAAGTGTCATTAATGCGTGTGGAGACGGTTATAGGAGGCAGACGGTATTATCGTTAGTTTTATCTCTAACAATATATCACGTTTAATACTGTAGTGGAGTAAATGGCCCTTTTGTCCCTGCCCCAGGGTCGGTGTTTATAGTTTTAAAGAATATTTCTGCCCTGTAGCACCGGGACGAATCTCGCTGATGAATGAACGCCAGCACTTTTAGGAAGAGCGAGTCAACACGCCGGGCCCAGCGCAGCAATAATTGGTGAAATAAAGTAAACATGAAGTAGGGCGTATGGAAACTGTTTTTTGTCAAGATGATTAATAGAGGTGATTTCTTCCCTTTTCCCCTTCCGTGTATCTACAGACTGTAGCATCCTCCTGTGATTTCCAAATATTTGAGTGACTTGTAACAGCTGAAAATATTAATCGATTTAGATAGCCATTATGCAACAAATTCCTCAGTTTACTCAGCAGCCCGTTTTCTGTGTTTATTCAAAAACATTACAACAATGTTAAAACCGTAAAAGGCCGAAAATTTGTTGAAGCATTTAAAATATATATGCTGATTTTGGTATACCTTTGTATATGTGTTTATGATTTTAGTCTGTACGACACATTGATATGTGATTAATTATACATTATTAATATATTATTTGTAAAACATTAGAGACCGGGAATTATTATTATTATTTTTTTTAAGTTTACATCGCGACAGCGACGACACCTCCGGTAACAGCTAATTGAAACGAATTAAAGTTTAAAAAATCCATCATTTCATTCATCTTCAGACATATTAAAAAATAACAGATGTTCAAAAATAACAGCAGTGAATAAGGAACAACTGAAAGTATGAGTCCCGCTTACATGAGCACCCTGTACAGATTACATGGCAGCAATTATTTTTAAATAGAGTTTTAACATGGCGACATTATATACGAATTCTATACGAAATATTATTGCGAAGTGACATTGACGGATAAGGTCCCTCGTCTTTCTGCAGCACATTTCCAAAGCAGATAAAGAGATGGATAAGGATTCTTAAAAACTTCCTGTTGGACGACTTGTTGTGGATATTATCGGGCGAGTGACCAAAATGGGCCGAGGTATGTTATCTGGGTTCGTCTACACCCGTTCCTGCTGCTGAGCATCCCGGCCAGGCGCCTCAGACCTAAGACTGGCGTCGCCCCCGCCCCCCCCCGGGCCCTGTCAATCATCTGCTCCCAGCGCGAGCGCCGCTTTACACCTTCCTAATGGATACTAATTAGAGCGGCCCGATATAGAACAGGGCTTGTCGAAATTAATCGCCATTTTACAAATGCCAACTTTACAGTCTTCTCTCCTAATCCGCTACATGGCCTGCATGTCATGTAGCCTGTTTATCTTTTCCATTAAAAACTTATAGAATTTAATTGCTCTTTATAGGCCTATCGGAATTATTATGTAGTCATTTAAAATAGGGTTTTTTTTCAGGTTTGTCTGAAGTCTACAAACAGGATTTCTTAGGGTGGCGATGCATTACGCGCCCCGCAGAAAATTAACGAATTTGAAGTCGTCTGTGGTTAATGCACAATTTATGTAAAACTGACATGTAGTTAAAATTAACAGGTTTAAATTTTAAATTTTACGCACGGGGTATTGATTAAATATATTTAGGTTAAGTTTAGGGAAATAAAATATTGTGTAGAACACCTGCATGGATTTTTTTTTATCGGACAACGTTAATCTCTGGGCTAAGAAAATATTTAAATTCTGATTATCGCTAAATTAGATAAAGTATAGATAAAGTAGGCTATAAGTGATAATACATCATTGCGTTTATAATTAAGTATGAAGTTAAAGAGCTAACGCTCTTCCCAGGTAGCTGACGAAGCTAAACGATTTATTAGGCTACTTAAAACCCGCCTTTTAAAATGCTTATGGGGATGTGCATGTAATTTGCATGTATGCATGTAGTCTACCATAAATACGTCTTTAAAATGAAACCTATTTCAGCTACAAAATATTAGTGTGAAAGTTGTGTGGAAATCGATAATGTAAAAAAAGGTATTGTTTATATAGCCTATTGATTTTATCCTGTTTTAATATTTAAACATTTCAAATTACTTTTGTTTTACCTCTGATTAAAATACTAGAGCTAAATGTCATTTTTACGTAGGTCTATATGTAGTATTTGTGTTAATGCCCTGTCACTGTTTCTAAAATGGCGGTAATAAGTCGATCTTTTAAAGTTACATAAAATCAATGCATAATAATAAAACATTAAAATCTAACAAGCGTAGCATAGCCTACCTAATGCTTTTATAATACATTTCTGTATGTTCACCTTCTTCCACTCGTGAGTATAAATAAAATATTTTAATCGGTTTGCCTTATTTATTTTACAGTAGGTGCGTTCAAACGATTGCTTCCAGTTTAATTTTTTTTGCCTTGTCTGTAAAGTCCAAGGACACATTGTGCTGCCCGCTTCAGTCTCCCTGCCAGGTGTCCGTGTCCCACTTCAGACATAAATTACTTCATGGAATAATATGCAACCCGGGTAATATTACGCTGCACGCGAATATTTATGGAAATTCACAGTGGCCAAGAGAGTCCTATCTAAAATGCCGACCATTTTTCCTTTCATCATCAGTCCTCCGGGAAAACTGACCTAGTTTAAAAGCGACATCAATCCGAAGCCGAATTACGGACGCCCAGCGGAAATGCATGACCACATATTGTCCTGTATGTTTCTGTTGTGGTCATAAGGATCACCCGACCACAACCGCTCTCTCACACTGTCCAGTGCTAAGTTTCATCCACGATTCAGCTGTTTATATGGCCATATTTTTGCGACAAAAATGTATCTGTGCACTGCTTGATCGCTCTGTCTCGAATAGATATTTTTAATTCAGTTTTCCCAGTCTTACTATTTTGGGATTTAATTTTTTTTTTTTTTAAATTCGATTTAACATAGAAATCTGCTGTTACTATCTGGAAAGCCCTTCATAACAACCCACTCGTAAAAGTACACTCTTAAATAAAATGTTTTTCTTCCACTCTCATTGCCATAGGGCTTGTTATGCAATGGTAGGCTTCCACCTCGTGGTTAGTATTATAACTACAGCACAACGCTTTATTCGGGGTCGTTTTACTCGGATTTACAATCAGAGACCGCGCTCTCAAATGATTACTTAGTCGCTTTTGTTACAATACGTGACGTATGCTGCTTTATCCTGGGATATAAACTGATGTTGATTAAAGGATGTCTAGAGAACCCACGCTTGCACATCTACGCTTATTAACGTCAGTGCCTCCTGTCGCGGTACGTTTTTCCCATGTTATTCTGATTGTAGTTCGAGCCAATTATACAGTATTTGGATTATACATCGGGCTGTATATTGCTATACAAATTTTGGGTGATGTTCTTTGGAAGTATTTGTAAAATAAATTTGACAGATGCTAATATTAAACAATAAAATTTCATTTTATTATTACAACAAAATATTTTTGTAATTAGCAGAAAAGTGTAAATAGGTCGAGTTCTTTAATTTAAGATTTCTTTGTCACTCGCGCTGGCTACGAAATTCGTAGAAATGCCAAATCAGTCCGTTTTATAGGACAGAGCCGGGCAGCCTAATGAAGCAGCCGGCGTCCCTGACGGTGGGTGAGAGGGAAGTTTCA